CGTGTCATATTAGATACATTATATGGTATAAAAACGTCACAATAGTTTCTACACACGTGTAATATGAAATATATAGTTTTATGAAAGTAGTGATGGGTTTGAGCGTAACAAGCATTGAACAATAACTATAATGAACAAGTAAACTTCTCCAACAGTTGTCTTATTAGAATAAACTTCAAATTTTTATCAAGCGTAGTGCACACTTGTCCTAACAAATATGTGAGTTCTTTCAGTATCGATTGCGAATAACAAAATTCATATTACGTTGAAAACTATTATTGTCCACTAAGTTGAAAACTATTATATCACATTGAAAACTATTATACTATGTTGAAAACTATTATATCCTACTACGTTAAACACTATTACATTACAAGTGAAAAATAAAAAATACAAGTTAATTGCGAATGCTCAGCATAACCAAGAGTTAACAGTTCGCCAAGTTGCACATCGAATAGGAGACGATTACCGAGTGCAATCGTATAAATTCGGTATTATCTTATCCGTGAACCGCTTACAAGGTGCATATTATCGTTTCGGAGCCTCTCCCATTCTATAAACGGACACAGATAGTAAACAATCTTTTGGGCCGACTGTGACATCACGGAACTACGGGCTCTCCGTAGAAACTGCGCCGATAAAGTCCGTTATCATCGGCGGAATACGCTCGTTGAAATCCAGCTTGTCGAGCGACGAGACGTAGGAGGGACACATGTTATTCGATACGATATGTACAATCGATTCGTGCGCTACCATCGCTCCGATCCGCGGCTATCCACGATAAAACGTTTCGATAATTTTCGCTCGATCGACGTCACAAATGCTGGAAATCGACCTTGATCCACGACGATCCGTGACGAACTACGCTTTTCCGTGACGCTGATACATTTTTTTTCGGATTGGTTTATTGTAAAATTACGCATATTGTGAGTCGTATGATACTTTGTTGCAATAAATGCATGTGTAGGTAACATTAACATTAAGTGCAGCGATGTGGAGTTTGTTTAATAAATTAGAGTTTGATTGAAATTAGAGTGGAGCTTGTTAGAGAAGGATGCAATTAGATTCTAGGGTAGATAAATTTTAGATAAATTCTACAGAATTTCTGGGTAATTTGAGGGAGACCCCAGGAGGACTTTTTTTTAAATAATTTTTACAAAATTTCTAAATAATTTCAGGTGCTTTCTAGGAGCATTCTAAATAAATTCTACATCACTTCTATAAAATTACAGGGAAATTTTAGGAGCATTATAGATAAATTCTACAACATTTCTAGTCAATTTTAAAGAGATTCCAGAAGAAATTTTGTGGCGAATGCTTTTACGACTCAATATATGCGAAACTATCTTACAACCAACTAGAATCATAACAAAGCTGCAACAATAAAAATTATTTAATTCGAGATATACGTATATCGATGTTGAACGTTTCGCAACATTGTTATTCGCAGGCATTTTTATGTTACTCTTTCGTATTAAGATCGGAGGATGTCGGGTTCACTAGTTTGATTGAAAGATACAGTATCTAATAATACATTTAGTAAAACATTTTTATCTCGATTATTCTTCTATTAATTGGGAGGAAAATATCGTTTAAGTACAATTTAACTACGCTATTCACTGTTTATTATACTTTTCTGACTGAAGAATGACTCGGTTAACAAGATAACACTTTAACCGCCACACTAGAACAGACGTATCTAGTATGGCATGATATGTGTATGTGGATCATTAAAAGACAACATATGTGTACATATGCAGTTTAATGTTCTGATGAAAGTTTTCACATGGATCAAATTTCTTATGTATCAAATTTATAGATTTTCAAGTTATTAAGTTGACAAATTTTTAAATGTTCCAATAGATCCTTAGAAGATGACATATGTGTACATATGTAGTTTAATGTTCTGATCAAATATTTCACTTGGAGCAAATTTTTTACGTATCAAATTTATAGATTTTCAAGTCGTCAAACTTTCAAATGTTTCTAAATTTGAAAATTAAAAAATTCTGAACTCTCGATACTCTTCACATATAGATAACACACCCACCTCGTAAAAAATTCGCGACATAATTATCAAAGTAAAATAGTGAGACCATCGAGAGATACTTGATTCACTTTTGACCCGACATAATTATAACCCAGCCCAAGCATCTAAAAATACCCCCGCACGTATCTCATGATACATTTATCAAAAACCTAAGTGAGAAATCGTAAACAAACCATATATTATACAATATACCTAACAGTGGCTTGTGCTACAACAGCAATATAAGAAATTTCGAGTTCAGACGAGCTGCAGCGTCAACGGGACATAAACGATACATAATTACATCATATTGCTGCATTATGTCAGCTCGGTAGAAGCGTACGTATGAACAAAGACAGCGTATACAGAGGACAAATAAGAAAAGGACTTTTATGACAGAAATGATCGCCCAGACAATTCACAAAAAGCATCGATAATCGATGATCATAAGCCTGAGATTTTTTCATCCATTTTGTTGTTTCACTTCGTTATCTCGCAAATCTTTCCAAGGTCGTTAAATATCGTTACGTAATGTTTCCAAACGTTCATCAATTTGTAATACTTCTCGATGTTCTAAATTCATGATAAAATGTTGGATAAAATAACTCGATAATATTTGAAAGAATTTCCGTTCGCAATTTTCGGTGATTAAAGTGGGTGAGAGGTTATTTCCTCTGAGAGGTTGATGGGGACGTGTTTGTACGAGAACAAGTATCGATAAGGTATTAAATTGATTAATCGATAGTCGAAGAATGGACTAATACTTCGTTCCCTCTTTATTAACATGTTGGCTGCCACGTCACCACATGTGACGTAAATTCACGAATCACATATATTAATTCTTTTACGCAGTTGAAAATACTCTTGTTGACTATTTGAAACATTGATGATTATATAACGAATTATTGTAAAAATATTTGGTACGATTTGTTATAATTAAAATGATCTAACCCTTTCAATATGGCAGTCACTGTGTTAAATAATAAATATTTCTTTTGTACGATGAGTTTGATTCACATCTAAATAAACTTTAAATTATTTTTAAATTCTTCTAAAAATTAAATGTAGGTAATTTATATTTCTAAAAGAAAATATTTTAATCCCTGATTTCTATTTGTTCGAAAAGATATACACGTCTCTCCGTTGCGAAAAGTGTAACCAAATCTCGAATGTTTGCCATGCTCTTGGCTACTAATGAACTTTGCAAATGAAATTAATAAGCAAGTGTGAATTCGTGTTCCCAACGCTCTAAAATCTTGCAAATTACATCTCAAACACGTGCAATTCAAGGAACTACAAATGGAGGAGCTGTATCCACCAGTAACTTTCTAAATAAAGTTAACACCTTCTTCGGCGCGCCTCTGGAGATACGAAATAACCTTTAAAACTGTTTGTAGAAGTTTTGCATGATTACAATACTGAATCACTCGGTTAGAAAATATTTCCGTTCAAATATTGAAAATTGCGATCGGAATACGTGAAATATATCACTTCTGTTTGAAATTTTGAAGCTCGAACGAGGGTTACGTAAGTACTGATTCGGCTCTAAATTCCGTCGACCTTGGAAGGAAAGAAGATAATTATACCGAATAGAATACACCTCATCTGTTACGGTGGCCATGGTTATGAAGGTTAATTTTGTCAATTTCGTGAATACGTAACTGTTGTTTTACCTTCAAAGTTGTATGCTAATATTTTATGGATTACTGAAGTAGATTTGGAAGTTTTGGAACTTGAGAAGTTGGAAATTTTGGAATTATGGAAGTTGGGGATTTTGAGATTTGGGGATCTGGGAGTTTGGGGAGATGGTAAGTTGAGAATTTAGGATTTTGAATACTTGAGGTCCTGAGAATTTAGGAAATTTGTAACTTGAGAGTTAGGAGAGTAATTTGAAAGTTTGACAATTTATGGATTTGGGAGTTTGGGAAGATGGTAAGTTGAGAATTTAGGATTTTGAATACTTGAGGTCCTGAGAATTTAGGAAATTTATAACTTGAGAGTTAGAAGAGTAATTTGAGAGTTTGACACTTTATGGACTTGGCAATTTGGAAGTTGAGAATATAAAAATTTGGAGGTATAGGAATTTGGGGCTTTGGAAATTTGAGAATCTTTGGAAAATTGGGAAATTGTATTCCTAAAAAATATCTACTTCTGTTCTCCTATTGTTTGATATTATTTACCATTATACTTGTACCAAATTTATATAAGAATTTCGGAATTTAGGTGTTCAAATTAATTCCAAAGTACATACTGTTCATAGTGCAAAGTAGAAAGTTCAATGAAACAAAAAATTAGTTCTGATATAAATTTAACAACAGTATTTCAATTAGGTAAATCTATCAAACCAGATCCAATTTAGCTCCAGACAAACACGAGATATGTATATTAATATAATAGTATTATACATCAAGCTATTTCAATTAGGTAAATATATCAAACTGTTCCCCATTTAATTTCAGACAAATACATTAAAACAATAATATTTGGATTCAACATATCTATCAAACTCTCCTAATTTGCTCCCATACATGAAACACATTAACCCTTTGTACTCAAAAAGTGACACACTCACTATTTAACTCAGCAGAATATAAAGTAAGTATTTTTCAATTAAATCTATTGCTAACATGTGATGTATAAACGCAGCAAAACAGAACCCAGTGGAAACTAATAACCCAGTAATAACTTCAGAAGGTCTCATTAAGTTTGTCAATTAAAAATTTCAGGATTACTGCCAGCAGCAAAAGTACCTTCGAGTACAAAGATTTAATCTAATTATTGTAATTAACTAGTGTTTCAACTGAATATAATTATCAACATAGACGCAATTTAGACAAAGTACAGTAACCATTCACTACAGTTACGCATACACAAAATATGCCTCCACAACGCAATTCAAAGATCACCGAAATGAAGAGGCGCACACTATTAGGTACAATTACCAAAAAAAAAACATACGCGGAAACCGTACCTCGTCTGAGGTAGTCGGTGACACGAGAATATGTCCCACCTCTGAACTCGCGAGAGGGAAAAGAGGGCCTTAGGTCGCGATTGCAGAAGTCGGAATGATCGCAACAGGCGATCACAAATTCCATGTTGCCTGGACCGCGTAGCGTGCTATTCGTGCTGCACCAGATCGAGTACTCGGGCGCCGGGAAGAAGCGCACCTTATCGTAACACCTGAGAACAATTTACATCACGAGTACTTCCGGACCTGACGAAAATAGCGTATCGCGACCTCTTCCTGCGTCTCGTTTTCGTGACGAGAATCCGACGAAATTTTAACTGTCCTTAACGGTACCTTGTTCCTTCAATAACGCTACCTTGTCTTCAATCAAATGTACTTTTCTTTTTGATCTATTTTGTATATTGAAGATGCTGTGAAGATGCCCCATTTTGAAGATACTGTGAATCGAAATGGTCAACGGAATGTAATTGAATTATTTTTATATTTATACTGTTCTGAGTGATAGCTTTAAGCCCCATTTGTACAAATGAACAAAAAATCTCTAAATTTGTCAAAGTAACGTCCAAGTCTGAAATAATGTTCAAGAAAAATTATGATCTGTAAGCAAGTTATCTGTAGAATATCTAGTTCTACAAGAATAAAACTTAAGCAAGAACTTCGTCGTATAAGTGGCATCGGACGTACGTGAAGTTCGCACGTGTCGACTTCGCAAACGCTCGAAGAATTTTAAAGAGTTGAAGAAAGCATAACCTTGAAATCTTCAAAATAACTTCCGGCGGAATGCACCTAATACCTCCTTTTTTCCCCCGTTTTCCGCCATTTCGACGCTATTGTTTTATTCAGTCGCGTGAGACATAGGCTACATGCGTGTAGGAAGGGAAGAAAAAGTTGTTCGATTCACAGCGTACGCTCCGGAGTATCCGAAGCTAAAAGGGTTAATCGAGAAACACGTCATCGTTCGTACGAGCATCGCAAATAAATTACAAACGCGGAGAACTCGCAGCTGGCCGGCGTTTTTACTTTGTTGGCCTCACGTGATAAATTACTCTTATTACGAGGTTATAAATTCGTAAGGGCACACCAGCGTCCAAATAACAGGCAGCCGAGATAAGTTCGGGAAATTAATCATTAATAACTCGCGATCGGGTAATAATTCACGGTGCTTCTTGTTTTTTTTTCGTCTTCTTCTTTCTTCTGCGGGTAATTTCATCTTTCGGGGGCCGTATTATAACGTCGTTATCCGGTGCTCTTTAAGGGACGCGTTATTACGTCAAAGACCTTCACGTTTCTTCGTCTTCACGGAAACCGTATTATTTTACGAGTTTGTTCGATGATTCGTAAATTATGTAACCTGATAATGCGATCGATTAATAAATCTACATACTTCCAGTTTTTCACTGCGATATGAGAATAAATAGTGACATTTTGAACTCGACGTTTGCGGAGTAAACGACGCTGATTTGACGAATCTCGTCTGCAGTTTTCTTGTATCAGCTTTCTGCATATCGACGGGTTTCGAAATGAACTCTGATACGATCTGATGACAAAGCGACACTTTTGGCATATCAATCTGAACTTTAGTGTCGAGAAAAATAGTTACATAAGCAGTTACATCACCCTGGAGGTCTCCAAATAGTATTCTCTCGAAAAGTATAAAAGACACGGAAGTTATATTTTGCTTCTACGAGATAAAAGATCTAAAGGAACAAAATGGCGGGAGCCTAAGTGGCTCTGTGCTAATATATTTCTTTTTCTTGCTTGCAAAACTCACTTAACATCTCTCGTATCTTTTAGTTTTTCAGAAAATCAATTTTATCTGAGGTCTCCAAAGTTTCAACACAAAATATCGACATAGGTTTTTAAATTGAAAATAAAAGGAAAATATTAACAAATGTAAAGCAAAAAATAAAGTATATTTTTTATTGTACAAGTCATCTAGTGAACTTATTTAAAATTACATTCATTCAAAATGTAAATCATTTTCTTCAATAACTTACATTCATCTAACTTCACGTTTCAAATTAATATGATAAAAGTGCAGATTTGAGATAATTTTACCTACTGTAATTATAATAAGAATCTTTTCTTAAATTGTTTGCAACAAGGTACCGTTAAGCATAAAAATTGACAGAATAATTATCAGAATCGTTTGGATATCGAACGCGTTAACGAGAATAAAGTATTTTAAGGACCTGTGGAGAATTACACACAGTTACATAAGTATAATACAAAGTTTTACAAGCTGCGAAGGACAGGTAGTTAAGATAAATTTTCCATGAACTATAGAGTCGTTCGTTTGTTGACGACAAGTTGATTGCTTTCCATCGGTTTCTTCTGAAAAGAGAAAATTCACGACAGCGAAGGGAAGGATGGATTGAACCAGAGGACGTGCAGGTATGAGAATAATAATAGCTACAACTATTGGCATAATCGAAATGTTGGTGAAAGACTTCATTTACAAAACATTTCAAACATTTTTCGAAGTGTAATTTAGCATCGGTTTTGAGAAAATTTTAGATACAATTTTTTTCTTACACCAACGTTTCGAAAGATATCGACGAATAAGAAGACATGTTAACATGTGCGATCCATCGGATTTGTGTACAGGACAAAAATAAAGGTAGATTGACAGAACGGAGCGTGTCTGCGACATATCTTTGCTCTAAAAGAAATTGAAAGATAATATTTACAAAAGAGGTACATTTTTGCAGAGATCCGTTTACCAGTGTCACTATTGCGTGTCTACTTTCGCTAGAGAGTGCAGAGAGGAGAGATGGCAACATGCTACCGGTGCTTTCCAAGTTCACTCAGGAGAACTTCCGGTCTCCGAGTACTTGTAAGCATAAAAAAAGAAAAGTGTACAGGAGGCAAGTACCTCGAAGTAACTAGAACATCCATAGGTGGCAAACATTTCCATACTGTTTTTCATCGAACTCTTTCTACGGAATGAATTTTAACAGAAACCACCGATAGTACATTTCTCTAATACTTACTATAGTTACATTCTATTGTATGAATTTGAAAATACCAAAGTAGTACCGATACAAAGCTAACAATAAGCAAAAACAGATAAAGACATGTATGTACATATGTACACAATCGGCTGTGCTGCATATAAAGAAAAGCAGGAGGGTGTAAGAGGGAAGAAAGAAGGTTGATAAACGTACTCAGTTTATAGAATTAAAAAATTTATTGATCAGTTTCAACGAAAATTACTGTGTTCAAAAAGGATCGTCTTTGCACGATCAAAAATATCCCTGTAAACATTGTGTGATAAAATGCGAATTAGGGTACCAGAAGTGACACCGTCCTGTGTATTGTGCTTTATCGGTCATAACGGGAGAAACGCGGGTCTGGGTGTCAGCTCGAGTAACGCATTATGCGTGGCCATATACTGGGTGTTCATGCTAATTTCTGACAATTCTGTTATTTTTTAACTTTCTCGAAAAAAATGTATATATGAGAATTTTCTTAGAAAGTCACCATATTTTAATAATTTTCCAAATATTTTTCAAGTCTTTGCACTTACGATTGCATTGGAAATTTATAGCTTAGAAAAAGCAATCTGTGAGCTTGAAAAAAGAAACTGGAAGTATTGCACTATTTATAAAATATTAATTCATGTACGTGTTCAAGGAAACCCATAAGAGCTTGATGACCTATTAATTCACAATTTTGTCACTTTTTGTAATTATTAGCAGAATAGGATAGTCTTGAATTAACTTGAACACTCTGTACATACAGTGAAACACAAAATTATTTGTACTAAATTAGTTTGTACAACATACAATATAAAATATTTCAATTATAAACTCCTTGATCGATATATTGATACAGATTAACGGTACATTATTCAAAGTTCAAGTGGTTCAATAAAATAATCGTTCAAGTGATAATTGCAATGTCAATAACAATATAAACACTTAAATGGTTTTAATTTTATCAAGGCTTATTTAAATCTGTATACAGTAACGTTTTAAAAATTTTACTGTGTTTGCATCAAAACAATAAATCAATGATAAGAAAAAATAAATAAGGGCATTTTCAGATATCATGGCATATTTTATTGAAAAATAATAAAAAACCTGAAAAATAATAAGAATAATAAGAAAAATATTTAATATATGGTATTCATTTCTTCTTCCATCAAAGAAAGTTAATTCTTCTTTCCATCAAAGAAAGTTTTCTCTCAGAAAAAAATCCGGAGATTCAAAAAATAAATTTCCGAGTACAAATATTTCTGTGTCCCACAGTGTACATCCGCAACGATGTAGCTTTCGTGTTCTACTCCGGGAACAATGTACACGACCATACATTCTAACCACCGCATAAAATGTATATTTATACGTGTATCTAGACACAGATAATAAAGTTGCGCGCGACAGTGACAAAAAGAAAAAAAAAAGTAAAAGATACAGGCAGAGCGTGTCAGCAGGTTGGCGAGACAATGTGTATGCACGCGAGAGAGACACGTAACGTATATCACTTAAAGGCCGTGACACAATGCACAATTCTGCACAGAGATAAATAAATTTGGAAAACTGAACGATTGCAATCAGCGAGCGAACAAATAAATAAATACATCTATAATAAAAATACGACGCGTACATTCGCTAACGATCATTCTTTGCGTCTGCGTACACATAATACTCACGCGGTGTGGAGCGAGAGGGGGAAAAATAATAAAAAGAAAAGATTGAGTAGCACAAGTATTCTCGTGGGGAGGAAATATAATTGCGTCGGATTGAATCGGGAATGACAGAATAATTATATCGAAGAAAAGCATCGGTCGGAAAAACGTGGAGAGTCAACAGCATGAAAATTTAATTGCTACTTTAATTAACAAGACTCCTCTCCGGCAAATATATCTACTATATACAGCAGGTTCTTGATATTCCGATGAAAATCAAAGAACCGAGAAGAATTAAAAGAAGAAGATAGAAATTACAGTGAAATAGACAGAGGCACAAGAAGGTGATAAAAAATAGAGAGAGAAAGAAAAGATAGCTGCAGCAAAAGCCTGGAGCCACCTGCAGAGTTTTCGTTACTTCCAGGTCATTAACACTATACCTGGTTTGCGGGGGTGCAGCTGAGGTCTCAGATGCTGATTGCAAAAATCCTCGTCGCAACACTCGATGACAAAGGTCGTATTTCGCGAGTCGCTCGTCATGCAGAAGATGAGCGGCTCGGGCTGCGACGACAGCTGTTTAGG